TCGAGATTGTGATCATCGGAGCAACTACCGTCGTTCGCTCTCAGAGATCCCCCTCCCGCCGATATTGAAGACAATTTTCCTGTGTGCCGAGTCATTTCTTTAACTTTGTCCGAGAAAATCTCTGACACATCTAAAGTGGAGAGAGCTACGAAGGCTGGTGGATGAATTCATTGCTGAGATTATGTTGGTGAGTTCAGCTATGGAGACAGGTGTGAATTTGGAGAGAGGTGGAGTAGTTGGAGTGATGGATGCAGGTAAGAAGGGAGGGGGAGGTGGTGAGGTGGTGAGTGAACTATAGAGGATGTTGATTTTGGATTGAAAGTAGGATCGGAATGAATTGCATTTGTCGATGGTGAAAGAGGTTGAAATATTGTCGCTGGGTTTGAGGAGTTTGTTCACGGTAGAGAAGAGAGCCTTTTGATTGCTGGAGTCAGTGTGGATGAGGTTGGAGTAGTAGGCGGAATGGCTGGAGTTGAGTGCGGTCTTGCATAACTGAAGGTGTAGGCGAGGAGATGATCAGTTAAACCAGATTTTTTATAGAGTCATTCGAGCTGGCGTTTTTGGGTTTTAAGTTTGCGGAGTTCCGGGGTTTACCAGGGGGCTGAGCGAGTGAAGGAGACAGATTTGGTTTTGATGGGGGCGAGTTGATTGAGACAGGAGGAGAGAGTGCTGTTGTAGTAGTTGGTGAGAAGAGTGGGGTCATGGGACAGTGGAGGAGGTAGTATGGAGAGGTGGTTGAGGACGGAGGTAGAAAAGTCAGTTCGGGAAACGGATTTGAGGTTTCTGAATGATATGGTGCGCTTTTCCTTGGGAATGGGGGTAGGGAGGTGGAGGTCCAGAGTGATAGCCAGGTGATCGGAAATGTTGAGGTTGGTGCTCGAGAGTTTTTCCAATGATGAGACCGGTGGAAAAGACCAAGTCCAGAGTGTGACCGTGGGTGTGGGTGGGGAAGTTGACATGTTGAGTGAAGTTAAGGCAGTCCAAAAGGTCAAGAAATTCAGAGGCATGTTTGCAGTTGGTGTTGTCGATATGGAAGTTAAAGTCGCCAAGGAGCAGAGTGAAGGGTGAGATAGGTGAGAGCTGTGTGACAAAATCGGAGAAGTCTGATAAAAATGATGGGTTGAATTTCGGGGGACGGTAAATGACAGCAATGACCAGGGGGGAGGGACCAGGGAATTTGAAGGTGATATGTTCAAAGGACTCAGTGGGTGAGGTGGATATAGTGCTGATTTTAAACTCTGTTTTATGGACTGATGCCACCCACCCCACCACCTCGGCTGGTGAGGCGGGGCTTGTCGATGTAGGTGTAACCAGGTGGGGTGGCTTGGTTGAGTGAGAAGTAGTCCAGGTGTTTGTGCCAGGTTTCGGTGATAAAGAGGAAGTCCAGGTTATTGTCAGTTATGAATTCGTGTAAGACGAGTGCTTTGTTGTTGAGTGAGCGGGTGTTAAATAGAGCCAGTTTGAGGATTTTGTGGTGTGTGGGTGACAGTGAGGATTGGGGGAGTGGGCGGAGATTGGTATTTGACATTTTAAAATATTTTCTCTTGTTATTATAGTTGTGAGGGTGTCTGGCTGTGATGATGGATTGAATGGGGTAGATGGCAGCAAACATGTATTTCTATTTCTGCAGAGGGTACATTAACCGACAATTTTCCATCGTTGACGGATTTTTTTTTAAGAGTTGTAGGAAAAATTTAAGGCCGTCCATCATTTTGACGGTTTGAAAATTGGACCATTAACCACAGCAGCAGTACGTCCTTAAGAATCTAGCGCGGCACTTTAAGAGAGAGAAGCAGAGAGACAAAGAAAAACAATGACGGGTGGATAATAGACAGAGACAGGAAGGAGTTCTTTGAATTGTCATTGCAAGAGTTTAGTACAGTACGTGTTGTGATGAGGCGACTTCAGTTTTTTTGCAAACCACGGTCTCTCATGGCCAAAACTACTGGAGGCCTCGAAACGAAAAAAAAAAAAAGTCAGCGAGAGAGAAGCCCGGCCCGACCCGACCCGAACCCGAATCACTGATTGACATTTTTGGCCCAACCCGAATTTCGGGTCGGGCTCCGGCTCGGGCCGCCCGATCTTACCTCTACTCCTGATACATTAAACCTGCACATTTGAGAATGTCCTTTTATTGTGGGTATCCTATGATGCAGCTGTACTTGTCCAGATTTGAGAGAACTCGGTATTTTGTGTGCATAAACAAGTGCTTTTGCAGTTCACCTCATGAAAAATGGGAGCAAAACCAAATGTTGCATTTCTATTTTTGTTCAGTATAGTTCTACTTGAAGTATCGGGGGAGACATTTTTCAAATAAAACCCAAGGGGAAAAAAGACGATACCCTAATGGTCATTGGTCAATCACAATCCCCCCACAGGAACTGCAGATGAAGCGCACAGCCATCGAGGCCTTCAACGAGACCATCAAAATATTTGAGGAGCAATGTGAGACTCAGGAACGCTACAGCAAAGAGTCTCTGGAGCGCTTCCAGCGTGAGGGCAATGAAAAGGAAATTCAGAAGTGAGTGATTTTGTTTTTCTTCATTAGGTTATGAACAATGTGTTGTCTGTTGTTTTGTCCCTGACATCATTTCTATTCCTCTGTCTCATCAGAATCCAGAGCAACTCGGAGCGTTTGAAATCTCGCGTGAAAGAGATCCACGACAGCAAACGAAAGCTGGAGCAGGACTTGAGAGAGCAGGTCTCCGATAACAGGGAAATCGATAAGAAGATGAATAGTCTCAAGCCAGATCTCATGCAGCTCCGTAAAATTCGAGACCAATACTTGATGTAAGGCAACGCATGTCTGCTCCACCCAAATATGGACTAATTTCGTAACATTTGCTGCCCTGTGGCTATTTGACTGCACTGATTGTGTGTTGGTCTTGTTTTCAGATGGCTGACACAGAAGGGTACAAGGCAGAAAAAGATTAACGAGTGGCTCGGCATAAAGAATGATGCTGATGAGTAAGTGTGTGTGTGATATTCTCATCTCAAGGACCAGTGACAAATAATGCAGTACATCCATTCATTTCCCACCATTGGAAAAACGATCATCAAAATGTAAATATTTGGCACCCGTGTTTCCAGCTCGTACTCACTCGAGGACGACGAGGGCTCACCCCATCATGATGAGGGCACTTGGTACGTGGGCGACATTAAGCGCACCCAGGCCGAGGAATTGCTGCGAGGGAAATGTGATGGAACCTTCCTCATCCGTGAGAGCCAATCACAGAAAGGCTCGTACGCCTGTTCTGTTGTGTAAGTTGCCCTTTCTTGTTCAAATACAATCAAAATTTCCATTTGGTCAAATACAGCAATCGATGTGTTTGACCAAATACATCGATTTCTGTGTTTCGATGTGTTGTGTTTTTGAGTACCAAAGTACCTGAGCTGTTCACAAATTTGTATTTGGGTTATTCTCCGTCTAAAGGCTTACTACGTACCGAGCGACACGGCCAAAACAGACTGAACTGTGTGCAGGATTCGGCAAATAGTTGTCGTCATTCAAAAGTTGAGCAATGGCGCAGCATCGCAAATCTAACACCCAATCTTTTCTGGGTTCTGGGTGTGAGCGAGACCCAGGTGGCTGGCAGCCGCCGCCGTGCCACTTAGCCCTATTCAACTAGATTTTGAATTTTAAAACCAGATTTAACTGTTTTTGCAATATTCGATAATGAAATCACAGTCGCAAAATTATTTTCAATTCCCGTCCGTCCCTGCTCGGGACTTAGCCTTGTCTTTCTGGTGGGCCACAGTGTCAGCCTGACTTTTTTTCCCTCTTTGCAGTGTGGATGGAAACACGAAACACTGCGTCATCAACAAGACGGCCACAGGTTACGGATTCGCCGAGCCGTACAATCTCTACTCATCCCTAAAAGATTTGGTGCTTCACTACAAAAACGTCTCCTTGATCCAACACAATGACCAGCTGAATGTAAATCTAGCATACCCGGTCCTGGCCCGCTCTCAGAATCACAACCAGCACCCCAGATGAATTCCTCACCGGCAGATAAGGGACTTCACCGGGGGGGGGGATTTCAACTCTCATATGTTGGGGGTCGAAGGTGGAGTAGGGGGTGTACTCTGAAGCAAGGTCGATCTTGTGTGTAAGTGGCAAGTAAAATCCACTTAATTAGCATGACTCACTGGCTAGAGGCTGGGCTTTGTTTTCCATCTGATCCCAGTGGAGCTAAGAGCACGTCTTGCAAGCATCATGGCTTCACAACAAGCATACCGACTTGTAACTTCTGCACTGTACAGTTGGCCTGTCGCAGCGAGCCGCTTCAGCCAGACATAACTGTACAGTGCACATTACACAAACCCAGCGTGAAAATACACAATAACACATCTTGATACAGAACAACAACGTGTTCAAGAATAAGCACACAAATTCTGTTGACGAGGAGATGGTTGGATGATGGGAATTTTTTAGAGGAGGCACTTTGTTTTGTTTTTTGTTTGTTTGTTTGTTTGTTTTTGCCTGAAACAACATGATAGCTTTTGATAGACAAAGGCCCGAACTGTTATCCAAAGACCGCCTGCAAACTCTCCGTAGACAAAAGCCTGTGCTGTCATCCTGTGAAAAGGACTGGTTTGGCTCAACCAGGCTGTTTGCTTCACTCCTTAAGGGCGGCTGAGAAAGCGTTGGACTTGGGTGGTGTAGTCACTGGAGCCTGGGGAATGGGATGAGGTAGATATTTAGTGGAATGGATATTTTTAGGGCGTTGTAGAAAACACTAGTTGAATTTGGTGCTGGTCTAAGTACATAGTAACAGCTTTCAATTGACCACAAGCCTGTGTCACGAGCTGAGAGAGACGGGAGAGAAAGTCTGTCAAAGTAGACAAAGCTGCCGTTTTAAAATAGCCTCTTTTTTTGGTGGGGGGGGAGTCAAATGTTCTTTATTTCCAACCGCTTTGGCTTGTTGTTCTATCTCAGCAGGCTTCCATTTGAATTGACGTGAGATATAACAGGATAAAAAAAAAATGCACGGCACATCTCATGAAATGTTTGAGTCATAGTACATTGATGAGTGCAGTTCCTCAGGATGACTGAAAATAGTGGAAAATGCATCCAACTTGTTTTTGTTTCTTTCTTGTTGGGTCCTCTTCAAGACGGTAGCATCTGTAGCCATTGACTTAACTGTTAGTGCTTATTCTATGTGTCTGCTTCCTATATGCTAATGATGGCACGTGCAGAGCATCAATCGATGTGATTATTGTATCTTTGGTACTGTATTTGCTTTGTTCCTAGTTAGACTGTTTTTTCCGCGGGCCTTGCAATTTTTATTTTTTTATTGTGTTTTTTGAATATAATATCTAGTCATGTTACTTCCCCTTCTTGCGCTTGACTGTTCGTTTTATCACAAGCTTCACTCGCAGAGCTGGAGAACAATTAATGTACAGAAAAAAGAAAAATTAGTAATATAAACACGTATTTCGGCCATACATGCAGTCGATGTATGCAAGTGGAGTGGCGCTTGGATTCCATTTTCCGACATCAAGCTAATGTGAGCCAAATGAAGGATTTAAAGCATTGTTGTTTGTTTCTTTGTGTTCACAGAGATTAGGAAGTCCTTCATGCTTGCTTTTCTACCTGTTATGCATAAACAGCGCTTTTCAAATTTATGAGGCCAGTGGTTCTCAAACTTTCTATGCCAAGTATGAGATAATTTATACCTAAAAGGCACAGTTAACATTATTGTAAGCCACTGTGACATTACGCACAGTTGGAAAATAACACGTTGCTTAGGGAAAAAAAAAAACTCCAATAATGATTCAGTTGAAACTTATTGCTCAGAAAGGTAAATTAAAGTTTTACTTAAATAAATGTTAAAAAAGAAACTGCTCTTGAAGATTCAAGGCAAACACGTCCAATTGAAGTGTGAACCTTTCTTCTACCACTAGAGGGAGCCCGCGTACCGTCCATCCATGAGCTGAACCGCTTTATACAATACAATACAATACAATACATCCTGATTTATCTTCACGAGCTGGGCAGACTTTGAAACTTAAGGGTCTAATAAATTTGCAAAGTGCTGTACAGTGATCCCTCACTTATAGCGGTTAATGGGGAGCGGGACCCTGCCGCGATAAGTGAAAACCACGAAGGAGGGTTTGCTCCTCTCAAGATATTTTTGTGTAAGTGTATGTGGGTACCAGCATGTTTAAAATATGCAAACAGTAATTATCCTTTACATATTTGAGACAAAGACTACATCAGTACTACACGTATTTACTTAAATCTTTAATTATATAACTTAATACAGTAATGAACATTCATCAGCATTGCCTTCTGAGTGAGACAGAGACTTGTATTAGTGGCGCTCTGACGGTGTAGCCGTCGTTAGCCTCCAGCTAGCTCCTGGCCAGCTATCCCCATGCAGCCGATGTGCTTATGATAAGACAATCGGTATTGATGAGGAGGATGCAAAAGAGACATGCCGCTACTGCGACAAGCCCAATCAGTGTCTCTCTCTTTTTCTCTCTCTCTCTCTCTCTCCTCGCCGCGCACGGAGCAAACAGAAGAGGCAATATGCGTGACGAGACACAAGGCTTCCCTCGTGTCTCATCATGCTGGGCGAAGATGCACAACCAGTCAGCTCACAGGATAAATCCACTTGTGCTGTCATTGGTCGACGTTGCGCCGGGAACCAGTCATGCACCTTGAATGAGTGCCCGTTGCCTGTACAGTCCAGGCATGTTCAAAACCTCTGAGTCGTTCGGCATTCTTTTTCTTAATACAGCACATTGGAGAAAAAAAAACGTAATGTACTGAAGTCGTGATAAATGAAGCGCAATATACAGAGCGATCACTGCACATTAAAGCATAAAGCGCGCTTGCACGATGCACAACACACTAGTACGCGGAGAAGAATCGTTTTTCCACTTACACGCATTCTCACCTCTTCTCACTTATTCGTTTGAATGCAGGTCTCACTTGCAAAGCACAAGACTTGCTATTACAATGTCCAGAATGAAGCTCACCTACCTTACTCTAGCCAACAAAGGAAGAAATTGTATTTTATTTGTGAAAGGGTTGTGCAGGGGAGACAAGTCAATAGTATTTTTGGATTTGAAAAAAAGTGGCCAAAATCAGCTGCAAAACATAAGAGGAGTGTGATGAAGGCTATAGACAAGTTTTTTTTGTTTTTTTTAATTGTGAAGATGCTGATCCAGTTAACATGAAGTACACTTTGAGTTACAAGTGAATTGATCATGTTTCCTGACAAATAACCTTTTATCACTAATGGCTCAACACGGACATTACTTTAGAAAGTGATCTTGTTTGTGCTTTGTTATTTTTACTGATACTTTTATTTTGTAGTTGGACTGGCCCAGTATTTTATTATTACTCTTTTTTTTAATGAAAGCAGCTTCCCAAATGTTCATTTTTCGCCATCGTAGCCCGGTCTATTCAGTTGTACTGCCCTTTGCACACACTTCTTTGGCTGAGAGGTGAGTTCAGCGCTTCTGCTCCGAGGGCTTAAACGGAAAAAAAAAGAGAGTGAAAGATTAGAAGTGCCTTTCGTCAATAGTAATGAGCGCATCCTCTATTCTCTGTTGTTGGAGCCACTTGCTGCGCCCGCCATTTTCTTTTACCTTTTTTGGCAAGATGCGTGTGTGCGTATTTTTATATGTTGGTACATCTTTAGTTGTGCCTGTTTGCTGTTTAGATGTATTATTAAATTGTTACAAGTTCTTGCTTTAGTACGGCGCGCTCTCACTTTGCACGCATGCTGAAAATGCACTAAACCTTTAGAGAGGGACTCCATTTGGCCTTCCAACTATTCTGCGTTGTTTTTGGAACAAGTGAATGAATGGCAAAATTTACAACTTTTCCAAGGACATCCATGTCTTTGTCTTTCTGTGACTCTGTTATTACTTGCTCGAGACCAAGTCGTGCCAGATGTACTCAAACATTGAAAAGTTGGACATAGGAGGTCAAATCAAAGTCTGCGTCATGTGAAAATAAATCTCTTCTCAATTTGACCCATCACAGATCAGCGTTATCAAAAAATCGCCAACTGTCCAAAATGGGGCTTCAAAATACTGAAAAATCGAGCGTTTCTCTCCGCTCTCGAGTGCTGTGGGCATGTGAGTCCGCTGAATGTCGCTGTGATGGCCTGGAAAATGGTTGCTATTTCATCTAGCATCTTTCTCATAGCATAGCTTTTTTTCTTTGATCTGGGCAAATATCGAATATATTTGCCGAATGCCACCAATGGCTGGGATATATCCCACCGGGTCACTGCCAGGATTTTGAGGAGGCGCTCTAAAGCACCCGCGTGGCAAAACCCCTCTACACGTTAGCTGTCACGCCTGATTTTAAAAAAAAAAGAAGAAGAAATGACCTGGCTCTTCCACCTTTTCTGTGCGCGCTTCACGGCTGACCGTGAGGTGCTCTTGAACAGCCATGAGTGTTTGACGTCTATTTGAACGGAAGATGCATTTTCAAGGCCGTACAAGTCTCTGAATCTCTCAATGGGATGTTCACCTGTCAAAGTTTTAGTGCATTTTGGGTTCCTTGCTGAAATTTCACCTGAAGGCCGAATACCTTCAACTTTTTGGGCAGTAGCGGACGTAGTTTACCAAATCCCCCATCTGTTGTCTTCACTTGATTAGTTTGAAACACTGCATTCAGTGTACAGGGTGTGCAGACACTCAAGTCACAATTATCAGAGCTGGCTTCTGCTGCCGAATCGCATTGAGACTAATAGACCGCAATGCCATGCAAAGGCCAGTTCAGCATAACAATAGAACCTTCGGTCTGTGTCAAGAGTTACGAGTGGGAGTTTGATTGCTTTGCGCTGTTCATGGATCTGTTGTCAATTGAAATTTGTCGTTGGGATAGCGCGATAGTCGAGTTGAGCGTTTCACATGTTTCAGGGATGTTCGGGCGACTTTGGATCCGCTCTTAGCTTTTTGTAGTCCACGTGGGTCGATGAGATGAATGCTTTCAGCTGCCATATTTTGCGGGAGGCATTTGAAAGCCTGAGGCGATGTAACTTTGGCATGACGTGGGCGTGCCTTCAGGACTCGCGCGCGCTTTCGCTCCTTTTCCTGCTCGTGTACTAGATATGCATTTTGTGTGCATTTATATGCATTTTTCTATATGGCTAATCATCATTTAAAGAATCCAATATTTTTTCATCAGCTTTGGTACACTGTATATGATCTTTCTTGAAAAGGCCTGACGCCCCAAGCACATTTTTCACTGACGATGAGGAACATGCAATTTGGTGCATGTACAAGTTTGAAATGTGAGAGATGTAATACAGAGTAACTATTTTGAAGCGTATACTTAGATATCTATATTTTTCGATGATGTAATTATCATTTGGCTTGTGCTTGAAACAAATCGGAGTTAGGGGGTTTCTCTTAAGGCTCTGCGGCGGCTCAGTAATCAGGGCGAGCGGTTCATTAAAGGCGGGCAATTTGAATACTCCGCTCCAGCAGTCTTCATAATACTTTACGGTTATCGTCAACTACAGTATATTCAGTGTAATAAACCGGTGCATTCGGATGATGAAGCAAGCTCATGTACCTGTGTCGATATTTACGGAACCAAGGCCGTACGGTGCAGTATGTTCAATGCAATTTTGGCTGCTTTGCATTTTTGAAGTCATGGAGAGATGTTTGGTTTTGTTTTGCATTTCTTGAACTTAGAATCCGTCATCGTCATTGGGAAGATTTGTGGGTTGTGTTGTGACCACAAATATCACACAGACAGAAATTGGAGTGAAACATCGTAACTCTGGAGGAGCCGGAATTTAAATGCAAAACGCAATGAAAAATGTGTTCGCCTGACTGAGGTTGTACACTAACTACAATTGGGGGGTACTACAGCATTCTCCAGGTCACCATCACTCCTTGCTGCAGATCTTCACAAAATCAAACAATGATGGTTCTTTTATGATGCTCCAGCATTTTTTCTTTAGCTTTTTGGGGAGGGAAAAAAATCTGTTAGAATTGTTTGTCTGTGTTTTGATTTTTGTTTGTTTAATAACCTTACAGAGCCTATACAGAAAAAGATAAGCTAGCATGAATTTTTGTTTTGTTTTTTGCTGAATACGTTAAAAGAAATACAAATGTTTACGACATGTAATTAACCAAATAATAAATACCCATTTAAGAATCAATCTATCCCTCAAAGTGGCCATGATTGATTTGCGTTTCTTTATTTCCTGCTGTTATAAACTTGAAAATATTGCTTGTCCTTTTTATTTTCTCATGTTAATATTCATTGTTGTTGTTTGACTTGTTGGAACAGTGCTCCCTCTATTTGCCACATTTGTTTTGAACCTAACCTGCTTCAAGAAAACACTGAGCCTTGTATATTGCATCTTTTCTTGATTCTCTGTGATGTACGTGTTATCATGACTCTTAGATGTTTGATTGTAAATAACTTTGAAATATGACACTCAAATATTATATGACACCAACGTATAAATCAAGAAATCCTACAGACTTTTTTTTGCACTATTTGAAGCAAAGGGCATGATGAGTCCATTTCTTCATTTGTTTCAAAAGCTTGTTTAATTTTCGTTTTCATTTCCTTCTTTTGAGCCGATGTACAGTGAACATAAACAACTGTACACACCGCTGTTCAAATGCCAGATTTTGTGGGATTAAAAATGAAACCAAGATTAATCATTGTCAAAGTATTTTTTATTTTTTTTTATTGTAACCAAAAACCTCTACAACTCAATCAAAACGAGAAAGTAAAAATAATCAACTGATTACTGGCCGTAATGACTTTTGTCAATTTGGCCAAGAAATTCAACATTAGTTTCATCTATCCATAACACATTTTCCCATATGCTTTTAGGTTTTGAAGTTTTTTTTTTATTTTGTTTTGTTTTCATTTGAAACTGAGGTCAGACTTTGTGGCCACAATTCCTAAAAGTATGTTTGAGGCAAACGCAACACTGCTCGTCAGAAAAATAACGATACAGAAGCATGGTGGTAGCAGCATCATACTTTGGATCTCAACCCCCCATGCCCCACCCCTCTCCCCACCCAATACCAATATTCTAGTCTTGAAGAAATGATTGGTTGGCTGTCATGCCACAATTGTTTCAAAGGCTCAGGTAATAACAAAACATGACTACATAATAATGTTAATCTGGAAGCCTATGCTGTTCACGGTGGAAGCGAATAAAGCAATCACACAAAGCCACACCAAAGGACACGTGAACTGAGAGGGAGCACTGTTGTTTCAGGCTCTTGTTATTTTTGTGTCTCACACTATGCACAAAAAGAAAAAAAAATCCTTGTGTTCATCCTTGGTCAGTTAGTCTGTGATACTACAAAGGATTAATTTACATTCTCGTGTACAGCCCGCAGTGTTTTCTTCATTCACACAGGTACTCTTTCGTCTGTATGATTTTTTTTCTTGCCTGATATAATGATTTTAAAAGATAATAAAATATTCAGTATATAAAATGTGGTCTGGTTATATCTGTCAATATAACAATATAACACACTGCAAAAGCCCATTCGAATGCCAGGGCTTAGTGATGCAAAAAACGAAGACAAAGAAATAAGCAAAATCCAACTAGAACATCTGCGCTTTATTTAGGCTTAGTCAGAAGCACTGAAAATGGTGGCAGGTGTGTGCTGACTCCGACATGAGTTTGAATGTCATTGGTTAATTCGGAACACAGCCACATTCCAGTTATAAGAGGGTGTGCACACTTGTGCAACCACATTTAACCGAATCGTTTGTTTTTACTTCCCCTCTTTAAAAGATTCCAGTAATTTTTTTTCAATTGAGTTGTACAGTTTAGAGGTCACATCAATGGTGAAAAAAAATTCTCAAGTGATTTACCTTGGTCTTGGCATTCGCTTGGGGTGTACAGACTTTATTTCAACTATCTATACACTGCCGTGCGATAGTTTGGGGTTTACTTAGAAATGTCCTTTTGAAAGAAGAGCATTTTTTTTTCAAACCACATTAACAACCATCTAGAACAGTGGTTCTCTAAGTGTGGTACTGGTGGTACACAAGCTCACGTTTGTGGTACTTGACAAAATCACTGCCAAGTACAGTTCCGTATTTAATTTCTGAGGACAATTTATAGTCTATATTTAGGCACATCGTTAATGTTCAAACTGTGCATAATGTTAACAGCGACTTGCATTATTATTTTCATGACCACATAACTTATAAACTTAACTTAAAAACTGCTACTTTATTCTAATGTTGGTCATTGTGGTGCTACTTGGAGTGCTCAATATTTTTGGGGGTGGCACTTATTTTAATACAGTATAGAGAGAGAGAGAATTTTGTTTCCAAAAGGACATTTTTAAGTGACCCCAAGCTTTTATTTTTGTTTTTAAATAATTAAATAAGCAGAGATGAAAGTGGACTTTTCTGAAAATTCCGGAAAAAATAAATAAATAAGTGTGTGTGTGTGTGTGTGTGTGTGTGTGTGTGTGTGTGTGTGTACACACGCACACACACACATACACGTGCGTGCGCGCACATGGCCGATCAAGCATGAATTAGTTTACACAAAACGCTATTCAAATACTCGACATTCAATGATTAATCTTCCTTTTGTGTGCACACTTGTACCCTTTGTGGCTTCCGTTCGGGCCGAAATTTCGAAATCTCCAAGATATGGCGAGGCCATGAGAATGCGAGGCGAAGGTATTACTGTTGTGGCGACTCCACTCAAGCTAAGCGTGCCTCAGCAGTAGATAGTCCGCTGCTCTCTGCTGTGCGTGTGTCAGCGCGAACATGTACGCAAGCGCGTCTTTTGATTTCAACCAATCAGCGCCGACGCAAATGA